CTCCGCTTTAGACGGTCTGTGTTGAACATCTTGTGGTAATCAGGTACGTGACCATTCCAGCAACGCACAGTGCGGAGGAAATCAGATCAGCATTGGAAAACCAATGCAGTGATGCTTCACGCGGATGGGCCGTGATAGACAACTTTCAAGTTCACGATGCACCAGAAAAAAAGTTCAAATGTGGAACACTTTACGGGTGGAAATTTTTCTCTGAATTGTATGAAAATTATTTGCAATTTAGTAATTGCTTCCGGATCCGCCTGCGAGGCGTAGAGCCCGGGTCCAGCTCAGCAGTGGAGTCTTTGAGGAAGACAGGTTTCATCAACTACTTCGGACTCCAGAGATTCGGTTGGGACAAGGGTGACGGCGCATCAAGTCATGTATGAAACTACAGAGTTGGGAGCTCATATCGGAGGATTAGAAAGTTCGGATAAGGATATTTTATTTTCTTGGGAAAATTCGAAAATTTTTGTATTTCGATCGGAATCGTTTGAAGCTGAAACTACAGCAAGGTTTAGATATAATGATGATCTATGTTCGAGGTGAAAGTTCGCTCCTAAAATGTTCAAATGGTTTGAAATTCCCTTGCGGATGTGCTAGTGTAATATTGCTTAGGTCTACACTGGTGCTGCAATCATTACACGAGATTTCAACCGTGCCGTTCGATCATATTTGCGGCCTCTGGCAGATGACATTTCGGAGGATGCTCAAGTGAGCGACCAGGCGAATGACGAAATTGAAATGCTCGTTAAGATAGATACGAAGGGCATGGCTTGAGACGGGAGATGCTCATAAGGCGGCTGAGGCTCTGGCCAAAGCTAGTACTCGCGACAACCGGGATATAAGCCTGTACTACTCTATAGAGGATTCACTTTAGTTGCTCGATAGGTATCGGGCTATGCTGCTGGAGTTGGCTACTTGTCGTGATAAGGGCCGGCATGCGATGATGCTCATACCAAAGACATTGTGGCATCTGCTTGCGGCCTCATACGTCTCTTGTTTGTGGAATCGTTTGGCGAGCCAGTACCGATGGTGACTTGGCTGTAGTGATGATTGTATCTCAGGCGTATACGTGAGGGAGGCCTCCGTGTTACGGTTGGAGACTTAGTCGAGGACCCGACGAGTCGAGAGCTGCGCTTGATTCGGTCCGAGGAGGATTCAGCAGGGTGAGAACCATACTGTATAGTGACAGACCGAATAGGTCATTTGGTATGGAGTTTTCTTTAGCAGTTTCGTATAAAAAAGACCCCAGTCGTACAGTGCTACTATAGGCTCGAGCCATGATGTTAGTCGTACATGTTGATAGCAATGTTTAAATTCTATCTGCGAAGTATCAGAGCGATTATCAATAATCTCGGGAAGAAGCGCTCATTTTTCACATTTGCATATCAAATTGGCACGCACTGTAGTAATGCACTTCAAGTTTTTAATCTCTACAGCTCTAACAAGTAAGCTCTATAAGTGCGCTTAACTCTAGCACAGCTCCGGGCGATGCTTCCTGGGCCTAAATCTCGTACATTATCAGCTCGCACATTTTCCCATGAAATACATTTTTTCCCGTAACGTTGGGTAATTTGTATGTTGGGTAATTTGTGTGGCAGTGGTAATGTATTCCACGGTCATGAAGTACGTCGGATAATTACCTAGGTTTTCAATGAGTGAGCGCAATTTCTACTTCCACTGCCATGTCGCTAACGCTTTGGCTGACTAGAGTACCTCGGGCGAATATTACAACTATACACACCACGAAAACGTATCTCCACTGTATGAATTTCAACTCTCTGGGCATCCGCATGAGTCCGTCCTAGAGAAATTGCCTTCCGTTGGTATCGGACAGATACACCATCCATGATGTTCGGTTGCCGCAGCTCGGCGAGCAAGTGGAAGGCGAATGCAGGGTCTTGACCGCTGGAGTTAATGTGGAAGAACTGTGGGTCTTTGAAAAGATCCTCGTGTTGATCGCTGATCTCCGTTATAGGTACGCAAAGTTGATACGGGAGTCGGAAGAGCGGGGTGAGATTCAGATTGGCTCATGGTCCGATGCGAAGTATAACTTTTCCGACCTTGGTTTCAATCAAAAGCTCACCACAATACCTAGACGCCTTGTGGTGCGTCCCACAGCGTTGTTGGCAGCAGAAGAGTCAAATGGCGAACGACTGCCGTACATGAACAACCTCCTACTCGATGTGAGTGGCTGACCAAGTTGTTATTTTATTGTTTATACATGCCTTAGTTCCATCTTCCACGAGGATCATACGCAACAATGCTACTCCGAGAGATCATGGAGGGAAGGAATTGATCATTGCATGTTTGACATTCACTGTTTCTGTCTTCACCCGTTTCATTCCAAATGTTCCTTGAAGAGTTTCGTGCTCAGTGGGATTTATTAAGTGCGAGGGGCACGACTGATGTGACCGTGTTAGCACGATGTTAGCAAACTCTGTAAAGCCTCAGTTGGCATAATCAATTCAATGCAGCGATACATTCGAATCTAATTCTGCAAGGTTCTTGCGAGCTATTGCGCTCGTGATACGTAGCGCATGCCTACATCAGTGTACGCCCACTGTGTCGTCACGTGGGTCTCGAATGCCTGACCTCAGTCTCTGAAGCTTAAAAGCTTTTGAAAAGCAATTTGCGGTTCGCTGAGTTCGCGAGCTGTTCCCCATGCACTGCGATAATACCGGAAACCAGTGCTGAAATCTCCACAAACTCTCCAACCTATACTCGGGTTTCTGCTTGTTGCTATTTAATTTATCGGTGACAATGACGTATTTGACGCCTCACTCTTGACGAAGCGCTCTGCATAATGCTATTGAACTGTTCTGCATCTGATTTTGCTCCGATACGTGACGATGTGTTAATAACGGGTGACTCTAATGAGACAATATTGCTTTCGTTAGAGGAATGTTGAGAGCAGCTTTAACTTTTTTCACTTCTTTCCATTTCTCGTTTCTTGGAGCTCCTGCTCCGATAAGGCAACCTGTCCCCTCACCCTCCCTAATGTCGCTCGCAAGCCTTTTGTATTTAACTTTGATACGAGAGTGTCATGCAGAAAGTTATTGTAACAACAACATCAGTTGAGATCTCCTGATATGTGATGGAGATTGATGCATAGTTGGTCGCCGCACAGCATCCTGAGAAAGGTGATTCAAGCATGTTCGGGACGCGTGTACAGGAAAAACAGATCCGTAGAAGCCGGAACGTCCTTTACTCGGTGATTAGTGCTCACGAGAAATTTCTTTCCTATAATATCTCACCTGAACGGTTGCTTCGGGAGCTGCATCAGTAGCTCGAATGACTCGTTTGTGGCGAAGAAGAAAACCAAGACACGACTGACGAACGCTTCGCTCTCCTCGTCTTCATTCGGTTTAACGAGCTTGAACGGTAGATAACGACGAAACGTTTCTCACTCGGCGCAATTCACGGAAGGGAGCACGCGCTGTACCCGTATTTGAGCATGTTTAACGTCCTGGTCGTCTGATGATACTTCGCCATGCCACCGAACACACTTGTCACCTCTGAGGGGAGAAGTGACGAGAAACTCACAGGGCGCTGCGAACCCGACCCTAAAATGGGATCCCTGTCCTTGTCGATGCTCAACGCTATCGAACGAAGAACCTGAACGGCGACGATGCATTGTTGCGAACGGTTAAAATAGCACGGGTACTTTGATCATTCTGTCGTGATTCTGGAAGAAATCTCGGGCTCTCGGGTGAATCTTAGTCGCCCAAGCTGAGTAAAGATAGTCATCAGCAGTACGTACATTCCTCTACTGCAGGCCAGGGCCTGGCCTGACCGCCAGGCTATAATAAAAAACTCACTTTTGGCGAGCATCGAGACCTCGGCCTCTGATCTTGGGGAGAATTCATCAATCTGAGAGCTATCATGGGCGGCTGGGTTGTGAAGTGCAGGTTGGGATTCTTGTGTGGAAACGGGTTGATTTGTTGAGCTACTCATCGTATGTTCGTCTGAGTGGTCATATGATAGGCTACGGCCACTTATAGTCTTGCCTGTTTCCTTCCTTTTCCCGAGACACTTGGCGTGAATAATATCCCACAGCGGATCATCGGTTGAACAGAACCGAGCGAGAGACATTCTAACTGCTAAGTCAGTGCTCGATGGAAATGAACGATTCGTAACTCATTGACCCACAAGACCACACATTTCCTTCCCCTTCAAGCGAGTTGCGTGGAGCTCTCTATGTCCAAAAATGTAAAAATCATATGGTCATGAGTATTCTGGAGGTATTTTGGATATTTTCCTGGTGGGGAGCCTCTCCAGGAGAGGTATCTAACCCTGCTTAGGACATACGGTTCAAGGGAATTAATGCTTCATTGTTCGACACTCAATTCGCTCGAGTCATGCATGGCCATCAGTCGTGTATCGTTCGCGTATCGGGTGGAGAATATTGGGCCACCTGCTCCGGATGGCACTGGATGAGGTTGAATTTGAGTACAAAAGTATCATTTGATCACCAACACCAGTCGACAAGCATTGCCAACATCAGTTCAATCAATACTGCATTGATGGTATATCATGGACGGACTTCTTATCAACATCTTAAGTCATCCTGCCACCGCGAGGTCTGACAGGGAGCAACAGAGATAAGCAGATCACGTGTAAGAGCCTCTAGGTACCTGTCGACAGTGGCATTTGCACAATCTCCTCCCCAGAGCGCCCAAGTCTCTTGATCCCCTTGAGCTTCGAAGCTGCAACTTTCCCTGCCCTTTCAGCGTGCTTGACCGCGGCCGAGAGCTCTAAGATTCTTTCTTGGAGACCCTGCAAAATGAGCACTCTAGGCATCAGAGCTCTCCACTCTGACCACGGGGTAAAGGGGTCTGGGAAATGCTAGAGAGGCTGCAGCGATTGAACGAATGCCACAGCACTGTCCAATACTCACATCGAGCGATGTAATCCACGATTTCGTGACACTTTGGTCTCGGGACTCAAGCGCCTCTCGTTTCGCTTCAAGGTCAGCCCTGTATGCTTTGAGTTCGTCGACCTCCCGATCCAGCGCCTCCGTTCCGCGCTCGATTTTGCCACTGAGCAGAGCCCGGTACCTGATAGAGCCGGATGGACCGTCCGAAATGTGATGATGGCGAATCCACACTGATAGCTCAATTTTATGATGGCTTCCTTCAAGGCTCGCATCCGATCGACTCTTGCACTGAGAGCAGCTCGACTATCCCGGTATCTATACATGGCAATCTCTAGTTCTCGTCTTCTTCAGTTCTTGGTTATACATATAACATAGCGAAGCCCCTATGCGTCGCCCAGTGGCCGAGGTGTTTGAAGACGGAGTTCGAGAGGAGCTTTTATCCGTGCGCTTATCAGTCTACTGTAGGTAGTTTTGCTCGAGCGATTTCGCTAGTGGAAGCGACATGGCTATGCAAAGAGCTCACTTTTCCCGTTGTTTCTGTATGTACTGCTGTAGGTACTCGCTCATACGTGTTTCCTTCATCTGTGTCATTTTCATCTTTGCTAATGTGCGACGTTGACGCGCAGCCTGTTGCTCCAGTGCTCGGTGCTGAAGTGCGAGGAGATAACCGCAGTCTACTTCTGCGTTATTCTTTATATCGTATGCATATCCTTTCGAATCATAAGAGGCAAGCGTCAAGTTATTGGTTCGCATCGCACTGACCTCGTTCCTCAAGGCGCTAGCCTCTCTTCGCTTCTCAATGAGGATATTCATCGTTTCGCTTGGAGGCCGAGCTGATCCAGTCTTTTCCCTTACTCGCCTTTTGGTCGCGCTTCCAGCCTATCATGACACGACTCTAGTGAGATCGACCCGAGGCTCTCTCACATGCTCAATCGGCTTCTTGTCACGGGAGGGGTTTTTCGGTCTTCTCATCGAAGCTCGTCTCTCAGAAGATATAAAAGCATCCTCATAAGCATCAATCATGTCGTGAACACGAAGTCGAAGATCGGCGTTCTCGTCAATGAGTCGTTGCCACGATCGACATACGATCCTAACACGTAACACTCAAGTTTTTATCTTATCTCGGTTCCAGCTACCGATCGTCCTCAGAGGCTGTGGACTCAACTGGGGAATACAAGTCAGTATCAATAGGGGGAGGACGGCTTTGTTTTCTGTTTGCTAAGTCCATCGCCATGTAAAAACCACACTAACATTCATTCGCCATAATCACACTTTGACGTTTGACAATAACAAAGGTCACCCAGAAATCAAAACGCCCAACTTGGACTCAAAACCAACTAGCTCTTACAATATCTCGACAGAATAATGATACATTATGAACAAAAAACGCACGAAAAACCAGTGTATTTTTCATCTACAAAATCTAAACTAAGTTTCAAATTGGAAGCTTCTGAAATAATGATATAAATACACTTCCCCGTCTTACCCTGCCCACTGCCAGAAAATGTGCGCATAATGAACTTACGACAGCATTTAGTGACTTTGTTGGTTACCCAACAAACGCAACAAACTTGACAAGCTGAGAGAAACTACTCTACTGCTAGCCGGTTAAAACTTTAGAATTCATAGATACCATCATCGACAAAAGAATAAGAGAAACAAAATTAATCCATTTCTGAGGGGCAATAGACTGGCGAGGATTCATCACACTTGTCACCCTCAGAAGGTTCATAGCATAGATGAGGCTTATCGGAATTATACAATCCGAAGCACACATAGGGACCGGGTTGATCGACATACTTCTTACAGTATGATCCCCACTTAGAGTTCTTGCACTTAGGGGTCTCGGCACAAAGATCCTCACAGGTCTTATCAACCACCGGGCAAGAGACCGGGCTGTAAACCTTGTCACTGCAGTAGCCACCGTTGAAACCATCAGTTGGCTCAAAGCAATAGTCACCGTCACCCATATCAAGCAGACCGAAGCATACGCCGTTACCCTTGCAATAGGATCCCCAACCATAGTTCTTGCAACCAGGAGTCTCCTCACACAGCTCCTGGCAGTAGTTCCAGTCGGCGGCGGCGGCCGAGCCAAGGACGAAGAACGAACATAGGAGGCGCATCATTTCAACTACTTGGAGATGGGTAAAACTTCAACTGAATGGAAAGCTTGAACATGAATGTTGAAAGTAAACAAATAGACTAACGAAGCAATGGTTTCAATGGATATCATATACGCTCAGCTAGCACATACACTAGCGTAAAGATGTGTATCCTGTCTCAAGCTATGCACTAGCTGCACCATCAGTCAGGGGTAGTGCAGATATCAGACAACTCCTCCACACTGCTCCTCCCAGCACAAAAGACTCTACAAATTGTCACAGCTGCAAATAATATCACTAGTACTGTGACACCTTGTGTCACTGCGGGACGAACTTGAGACATTAGCAGGTCCCTACTTGAACGAGTCGTTCTATTGACTGCAAGACAGTGACGCTAGCTTCGGTTTTTCTCTGTTATTTTACAAACAATGGTCAATAATGAGACAGCACGTATGAAGTCTTCTTTCCGGTTGCGTTCACCGGGAAACACTCAGCGGTAGAGAGTTCCACAAGCCGAGTACTGTAATCTAGCGGGAATAGATGGTGATGTCACTATTCTTTTTCGAGACCACCAACTGGTGCTCTTGCCGCCCCCCTAAGACTATGTTCATTGACAACCCGAGCGTAGCAGAGAAGGTGATCAATCTTCACAAAGTTGGTCCTGTAAATGTTAGCTCTGTTCAATAACATTCTCTGCACCATGGAGGGAAAATACGAAAAGGAGTCGCAGCTCTTGAGATCAATTCACTCGAACTTACAGAGAAGGAGCACTGATACGGTCAAACAGATACAGCAACAATGTTCCCACAACGTATGCAGTGACGCCGCGATCTGGCAAGAAGAGGGTTGACAGTGACTAGAAAGAGCAGCAAAGACAAAGGAACAACGGGATACAAGCAGCGTGACAAGATGCCACTGTTAATCAGCAATGACCGCAACCTCAAAATGGAGCTTCCTTCGACAGCATACTCGGGTGATATCGCAGACACTCATCAGTAGGCTCCTCCTCGATGTGAATGAAAGTACGTCTCACCGTGAGTAACCCTGCACCATGCTCAACCCTCGACTGACGGTCATGTGACTCCGCTGGTGCGGTGACCTCCTCATGAGGTTTAACCAATTTGGACGAAGTGGCCGCGGCTTTTTCTGCGGCTCTACGCCGAGCCAAGCGCCTTGGTGACATTAATGACGACACTTTAGTAGTGCTGGCCACTGAGCCTTTCTTCACCTTTGGTTTACCAACAACATGCCATTCACCATCATTGCCACCAGCCTCTGGCTCAGGGGGCAGCGACAACCCTGCTTCTGGCCTCAATGGAAGCTTTGGGGCCTCGCCTGGATGCCCTTTGGGGCCCGGTTCGAGATTAGAGGGTACCGAAGATCTCAACGTATCCGAGGTATACTCTTCCGAAGTCATCATCACGCTGAACAAAAATGAAGCAGCAGACGAGGAAGAGGAGCTCGAAGTAGAAGAAGACGATGACGAGCTACTGCTGCTGCTACTGCTACTCGATGAGGACGACCGGAGCCTGCTTTTATCAGCCGGCTCAGACGTTGCGCAAGTTACGACAGACCCGGGTTTGGGTTCGGGAACAGTAGTGTGCGGTAGGCGTTTGGACGGTGTGGTCTTCGGCTTTGTTCTCTTTCCAGATTGGGTCAGTTGTGACTTCTTTCGTTGCTGCTGATCTCCAGAGTCAGTCGAGATCGAGCCGTTCGACTTCCTCTGTGGCTCCTTCGCTGGTGAAGAGGCCTCCTTCAGATACTTACTGCGAATTGACTCGAATTTGTCCCTGTAGTATTCGCTCAGAATACGCTGAGAAGAACAACAATAATCGTCATAACGATGATGACTATCTCCCCTACGAATTCCAGAGCTTGGGCTACAATTCCATCCACGACCACATGTCTCGGATCTCCTGTGGCGAAGTCCGTGAGACGATACCATAACTGAGTGAACAAACAGTTAATTAGTTGAGGCTAGACTGAAAGTTGTCACCTCCGTTCGCCGCACAATTCTCGAGCGCATTCTCTTAGTGTTCGCAAGGAAATCTTCACATCGATCGTGGATAAACTAAAACCAAACCATCACAACCTGAAATCAACTTTGAAGAACTTACAGGAAGAAGCGTGTCGTTAAGCACCGGGTGGTACTTGGGCTGAAGCACGTCTGGTTTAACACTGCGGTCGTGCGCAAGAGCTGACCACAACAACATGAGAGCTCTCAGGGTCTCCAACCTCACCTTGGGCCCCCGAAGAATCGAGCATATCCTGCATCAGCTTGGTACTGTTGAAGAGATAGAATGCTGACTGCCCAACAAGGCGCTTATGCTTGGGGTATTGGCCCATGGAGTGTAGCTGTTGCTTTCTTGCTTCCTAATAGCGACCAGATCAACTCTGCCGACTCCTACCATAAATCTACCAAATCTATCTCGTTTATCCGTGACACCAGTTCTGCATCGACGATAGTGAGGAGTTCCTGTTTGGCTTTAGTCGGCAACCTCCGAAACGCCTCGAGGACATCTCCTCTGCTGACCTACACCCGACTGGCAGTGCGACTAACGCATGGTCGTTCGGACTCACCAGTGGAACAGTCTTATCAACCTTTGCCATGAACGCCGGTATGAGTACTGTCACTTGACTGCCTCTCTTATGTGGATTCTCATGGTACGTCAACGCCCGAACAGGCTCTGCTATTGTAGATGCACTACCACCACCGGAGCCCCGTGGCATACAGTAGAATTCAACTGATCGTTTACCGCAAGTGAGGATCTGTTTTCTGTGAGAAACCCAGACGCAGTCGTCCCAATGAGGCTGAACACAGAATGCAAAAGTTCTGATAGTCGCCCCCCCCCTGCGGAAAAACTGCCCGACCCCCTGCATCCACTGAGCACGACACGGAATCAGTCACTGAAATCATCAAGATACATACATGTGAGCATAGCAATCGTCGGCGACGATGTATTTTTCGCTCGCCTCCTGCTGTCCATGTCGATCTCGCTCCGAGGGAGTCTCAACACTAGGACTAACGTCGCTGACCCGTCTTTTCCTGGATTTTCCATGCTAACACACATCGCCCTTCGCTCGTCGCGAGCACGTCTGCACCGCCAGACTTCCGACATATCATTTCTCAGTTTGGCTCAGGGGAAGCCCCCCTCCAAGGGCTCTATTCAGGTTAGGACAGACGTTTTACTGTGCTCGAGCACCCTATATTTTCGACTATATATTTTCGAATGCATTCGGGCTCCCGAAGGAGGTGTGCCGCTCGTGAATTCACAACTACGTCTCAAGCAGCTTCCCAGGACTACTCAGAGGCTCACTAAAGATCAGCTTAGAGCTCACAGTTATCGCAAAAACGTCAGGTAGGAGTATGGTCGTCATGGACGGCACCAAATAGCCGTTGCTATTTAGATGTACAAGGATCCAGCCCATGCCCCTCAATGCGGACTCACACTGGGAGGGAGAGCGCTCAGCGCCACGATGTGAAGAAAGAGCGGTAAGACAAATAACCTACTGATCGACGAGCACCGCTACTACCTTTCGAATGATCAAGTCGATAGTCAACTCCATCGCAGCCAGAGAGAGATGTCGCCAACAAGGTGTAATTCATAATCACCTATTTCGAAAGTCGCCAACAAGTCAACCATAGTCTCTGCCGAGGCAAGCTGCAAACCAACAAGTTGCAGGTGTGGAATAAACACACAATTTCTCCTCATTTGAGCTCCTACTCTGAATAACACGTGCCACGGGGTCACTAATAAAAGCATCTCCCTATGAACTATGCATAAAACTATGCATCGGACGAACTCTTTGTGCCGTGAACTTTCATTCTCGCTATAGCAGAAAAACACAGACTACTATGTTTTCCAGATACTGCTCACAGCCCGTCACTATATCAGCTCTATTGCTACATACAAAGAAGAAGACAACCCAGGTACCAATAGAGAGCTAAAATATTTTCCTCATTGTTACACATGCGACAATCAGGCACTCGTCCCGCCCCTATGAACAGGCTAGAGACGCTACCCCCGACTGTCCCACAGGGCGAGCTCTCATCCTTACCATAAATTCACCCTCCATAGAGATTTCCCACAAGCCATCCTCTGCGAATCAGCATGCAAGAACAATCATCTCCAACAACGCTGTAGGGCGACCCAAAACTGTGATACCACAACTCGTCCAACTCAGGCTCAGAAAAGGAGCATTCAGAAAAATGGGAAATTAAACAAGTAAATATACTACGCTCAGTCACGAGAACTCCACCTCATGCGACGGTGACGCGGACGATCGCTGTCACCACTACCACTGGGCATCGTCCCCTCGTAAATTCCCATCAGGATCGACGTCTTACACACTGGGCAAGTCGGACTGCTCTTCAGCCACTCATCTATGCATGCAGCATGATATCGATGCATGCACGGCAGAGTCCTTAACATCTCCCCCTTCTTGAGACTATCCATACACACCGCACAGTTGCCCCGTGCTTCCTTACACGTAGACTGTATAGTAAGCGCGGCAATTTCCCCCTCAGTCGCACCGGCAGCCGGTCCGCCCTGAGCCGCTATTATCGCAGCCAACGGAGAGTCGTCCATACTGTCACCTTCCTCAGATGCGGCGCCTGATAGTGTAGCCATCACCCCTTGAACCAGTGTATGCCCGACAGCACCAACAACAGCACGCAAGCTGTTCCTTATGTGAGGCCCACCTCCACTGGACTCGCTAGCACTATCATTCACCCGATCCGACGTCGATCTGGAGTCATCACTGCTCCCCCTCGGTAAAGGGAACTCCCTAGCGCTCAAGAAGGAAGCCTCTGAGTCACTCCTGTCGAGCGGGGCGGCCGGCCTGGTCTCCTCTGCCGTCGCGTTCTCGCTGTCTACACTCAGGAATGCCGGCCGGCTCACAGGGCGTACAAATTCTTGATCAGTTTCGCCTAAGGCCGCAGCCAACCTCAGAGCTACTACCCGGTCGTGCTCTATGTCCTGTGCTTGCAGAATAGCAGTGACCATTTGCGCTACTGTAGCGTCTTGTGGCACATCCAACTCGTCCGCTTGAACTCGAAGGACCTCTCGCGGCAGCTCCTGAAGGTAGGACCTCCGATCAGCCACCTCCATACGCTGTGTCGATGAGGTCGACGAAGAGTCGTCAGAAGCTGACGATATTGCCATTGGCGATGCCGCAAACATCTTGGGAAAACAAGCTGAGCCAGAGCAAGACAATAAACAAACCGGAGATCCTACAGGGCATTGACCACAGCAATAGCGCTACTTCCACAGTCCAGGGCTGCGGGCGCGACCAGGCTCGCTAGAAATTTGATAGGGCTTTCGAACGTATAAGTGTCATTGAACAACTCCCACTTCTGATCGAGAAACACGGTTTTAGATATTTTTCGGGCCACTCGTCATCAAATCCTACACTATCTCCTGTGAAACCCGAAATCCGTCTACCAGGGGCACGAATGAATTCAGCAATTCAACGGTGCATGACTCGCCTCCCCAAAAAGAGACTTCTTAGAGCATCTTATGAATTGCTTATATAATTTCACCGATTCACCAATACGACGTCCCTGCGAAATAACAGATCGAACGCTAGTCGGGAATACTACATTGGAGTTTCACCCTAGTGATATGAAAAACACTACTGAAAAACATGTTTCACGACTACTGCATACCGCGTATATCGTGTTTTTTTCACCGAGTTTTACGCCACTCCACGCAAAGCGGGTGAATCTCCGTTAATGCAGCTGACACGAACATCTACTACCCCGACCATAAAACCCCTGGAGAGTCCATCACCATTATCAGTTGCCTCGTCAATGGCATCACTCCCATCTGTCATGTTGTAGTGCAACACAACACACTCCTCCAGTTCACGATTGGACTATCTACGACTACTGGCACGAGCAGAATACCGGAAACAGCTGAGCTCTGTGTAAAATCAATTCTCGCATCCTGTTGGAATTGCCTCAAAATGGATGGGAACATTGGCAAGAGCTGAGAACTGTGGAATCTGCTGAATATATTAATAACGATATGAAAAAAGGGGAAGTACAGCAACTGATGAACAGCTGTATAACACTAGTTACTCATTCAGATGTGGAATAGGCCTCTTAGTGGCCCTCAGCAGAAGTCGAGGGACCCCCCAGGGCCGGTAAAAATCCCTTAGTATATCCCATAAGAACATGGCAGACTTCTGCGCCACGTTCAATGACGACTTTACGACGATTCTCCCCAATGGTCTTGTCGAGACCTGCATATTCTCAATAGTTGATATGCGATATCTCTTCGAGCCTACCTCGAGTGGTGATCGTAATGAGCTTCTCCTTGGCACGGATAACCCCACCGATGAGGCGATTGTCGGGATTGAAGGCGACATGGACGTTAACATCGAGATAGCAGGGAATGCTCTCGAAAGTAGCAGAGGCGACCTAGATCAGTTTCCACGCGACCAGAGGGTATTTCTAACTTACCTTGAAAGTGTCTAATGCCGTCTCCTGTAGATGAGTCAGCTGACGGCGACAGTCCTCAGCCAGCCCTGTGATCCTAGACTGCACGATCTGCTTATTGACAGGAATAGCCTCTCTGATTCGTCCAATGAACGTCATAATGACGCCGGAGCTACTGCGAATTCTCTGAGGGAAATTGTCACCAAAACTCCCAGGTAGCCCAGGTCACCTTGAGCAGTTTGCTGCCTGCATCTAAAACTCCATCTAGACAAGAATCCACTCGGATCACCCAGGGTCGAGTAAGCTCAATGACAAATGGGAACTTCTCTCGTGCAGTCTTGACCGGTAGGTAATCTCCCAACCACGAGAGAGATCTGTTGACAGCACTGCTCAGGACCTGGGCTGGCATCAGGAGTAAATCAATAACCCTAGGACGCGAAACGCACGGAGTAAACTGCTTTATAATAAAAGCAATATAACGACGCTGAATGGGACTGAAAATAGTAACAAAGGTCTTATAGACCGACTCTGGTTGAAACCGTTTGTTAGTCGAGTGTTCGCATATTTTCCGCTCATTCTCCTCAATGTGCAGGGAGGAGCCCAGACTCCGAGTGCATCAAAATTGACATCAACCCTCTTGTCAATGTTACTTTAAAGCCAGAGGGTAGTAGTTTAACCCTCAGCTACCTCTTCTGGCCGGTCATTACTCGTATAGAGCGGTTGTTATCTTGACACGAAGTTGAGACTGGGAAGCCCCAGGACGATACCGAGAACGCTGCTGCTGATAGACGGCCTTCTAGCTGTGATATACTCCAAATGGTACCACTCCACGGTCACATCCTCCACAACCTACCTTAGTTTGCACCAATGACCGGAAATTTGAATTTGCCCTACCTAAGGGCCCATCTGCCCAACACTCCTCAACCTTCGGTGGTCGTCAGAGGCTCTTACCAATACAGGATCTGACCACTCCTCCAATGGGGCAACTCTGAATGTCTGACAAGTGCTCCAACATGAGCGTAGGTCGACCAAACCAACACTTGTGGTATCCCCCCGGCCCGGCCAAAGGCCCCGCCGTATACGAAGGATGAACACTCCTCAGCGGCCCATTACCGTCTGAAACTGGAGCACCAAAACCAGGCCTCCAACTATGCGTACGGGAATGCCGAAGATATACTTGCGCAGAATGTTGTTCGGAATGCGTCGTTTTAACGCGCGTAAAAACGCTCAAACCCCTCGGGACTTTCTCCACGCATAATCGTTTGAACATCGTTCTGCGGGATTATTCTCGTAGCGTTGCGCGGTCGCCAGGGGTGCCAGGAGATGACGGAGTAGAGTAGAAGAGTAGTAGAGAGCTGGATCAAAGCTGTCAAAGCGTGGGACCAGACGTAGGGACTTCTACTCGATCCGAAGGTACCCCTGTTCAACCGCGGGTTGGCTCAGCCGGAATCCTCACCACGTAGAGTTCTTACTAACGTAGGAACCCAACATCACAATTAGATCTAATGGATTTGCTACTCAATCGCACTAGTGAGACCACTACATATAGACCAAGTGCTAGTCAAGCGAGATTACAACGTAAGAGCAACTGCTCCCAGTCGTAAACGACGCACGTTCACAGTCAAAGAGAGAACACGTAGCCACAGTAAGCTACGGTTGTCTAGTATCAATCTAGAACTCTAACTCTCAGATAGAACAGAGGTGTGCAATCAATCTCATCATCTTCAACGTGAGTGAAACGTCCTGCCGTTTCAACACCAAGATACGTTGCGAAGATACGCCATCATCTTGAGCACTTAAGTCGTCTTGGTGTTCCTTTGCGCTTGCCTCGCGGCTCCGCGCATTGGCCACGGGAGACGTTGGCTTAAGTGGATCCCATCATAATTGACGTATACACCCAACGAGCCACCAATGACGATCCCAAAAAGTAAAAAATGAACTAGTCTAATAGTCGTCATCTATCATCATCGATTACCATAGTCGTCTACATAATTCTTCTAGTCGTCTAAGTCGTTATACCATAGAGCCTTGAAGTCGTCTACCAAAAAGCTAGTTGGTGTCGTTCTCGATCATAACGTAGTCACGATAGTAGACACGTTGTTCGGCCTGCCTCAGAGAGTCGAGACGTGCTTCTGCATCCACACTGTCGACGCTCAGTAGCTGAATAGCGTGCTCGTACTTGGCAAAGACGTTAGCCATAGACTCCCCTAGGTTCTGGTGCAAGTCGTGAACCACGTCAGTACAGTTGTTGGACTTAGCGTGATCGGACAACGTGGACAGAAACGTACCCTTGTAGAGGCCAAGTAGACGTAGATACGTATAGTGAATACTCATAGGTATACGTTGGCACCTACGGGCTCTCAGATTAGCGTCGTGGGGCAGTGTAGGGACTCCGAGTATGTGACCAGTGGTACTAACGTCCCAACAACGTAGAGCCGACAGGAATCCTTCAACGAGAGACCAACGTAATAACTCCCCCAAAGTAGATATGACGTATTCCTCGGATAAGTACTCGTCGTCTACCATTTGTGGAGTAATAGTAGCATTGTCGTCCACGTCGAAGTAGGCCCTGCCTTTACGTACAAATTGACGTAGGCGACCAGTAAGGGAATTGCCAACGTAACACCACTCAACGTGGACTCAAAGGGAGTCAGGTACGTCTGGTCAATATTGGGTATGGTGTTGAACGTGAGTGACCCAGACGTCCAAGTAGTTGGCGTAGACAACCTCGTACTGATACCACGTGGGAGACGTGGGTAGGACCAATTCCACTTATAGAGACGCTGTAGTAGATGGCATACCCGACATAATCCCAAGTGCATGTACTTATAGTGATAGATAGTCGATAGGACCCTTATGAGGGCTGACGTATACTTGCTGTTACTAAGGTGGATCACACCGTCGTCATCTTCTTCGGCATGGCGGAGTCGCTCCGGGCTGGGATGACGTCTGACTATACCATGTCGATCAACGTAACAAATACGAGCCAACCTTCTTAGTTTACCACCCTTCATACCGAGTTCCTTGTAGGTGACCTTCTCAAGGAGAAGATTCTTGAAGTCCTTCAAGTCGTCGTCCAACTCTTGCGCACGTATTACGCAAGCACTGACACGGTCTTCGTAGTTACCATCCTGTAGTAGCTCTGGGTCGATCTCTTCCACGGGCTTGGCATAACGTGCGAGTTCACGTAGTTCTTCTTGTTGTTCAGTGGTAAAGGAGCCGTAGTTGGGTAGGTCAATACCGTCACAGTTGAGAGTCATCACCAGAGCACCGACCGTTGAAGAGTTGGTTGTGGCGTTAGCCACGGGAGAAGTAGTAACCTCCTCTACTAGTTTAGCACCAGTGGTTGTTGTTGACGTATTCGTGGCGTTAGCCACGGGAGAAGTAGGAATACATTGGGCGTCCCTGCCGTTGGCGGTTGCAGTTGTTGGTTCCGTGGCGTTAGCCACGGGAGAAGTGGTGTATTGTGAGCAGGGTTCTTCATCGTTGGTCTCGACTATATTCTCAGCCATCTCGTCATTCGTAATCTCCCTATAGTCAAAAACCACTTCGCTGACAGACATCGCCTTGCAGACGTGGGTACCGTCAATAACCTTGTCGTTGATCTTAGTTCGTGATATCGAGTCGGCATAGTTCAACTCAGAGGGTATGTGCTTGACGATAACGTCTAACTGCCGGCACATCTCCCTAATCTGCTTCAGTCTTCGTCGTTCAACGACAGGTAGCTTCTTGTCCCTACTGGGGCGTCGTAACCGATACACCGTGATCTCACTGTCACATAGGAGAACGACTTGTCGAGCTGGTAGATTAGGTACCAAGGGTTCTAGAGGTGACTGGTGAGGACGTAGACAAGTCTTGATGGGTAAGTAGGTTGATGTAGAACGTATCCAAGTGAGGGCGTGGTGTACAGCGACCAGCTCCTTACGTGGAATAGTCCACTTAGTCTGTGAGCTTGGGAAGACTCCTCCACGAGCCATGACCCTAGTAGTAGTATCTTCACCAGTGGTACACCTCACGTCCACACCCCAACATTCACCAGATGCATCTGATGAGACCAATAAGGGGTAATTCTCCAAGTCAATGAACCTCTCGAAGCCTATTAACGTAGTTATTTCCGTACACGACCTTGCCCATACTTTGATCCGATGGACCAAATCATCGTTGAGCTTGTCGTCCCAGTTTTTATGAGCCTGACAGACTTCTCGCCAAAGTAGTCGTCCTTGTATGTCTAGCTCAACGTAGAGGCCAAGAGGGTCGTAGAGAAAAGCCAAGGCTGCACAAGCCTGTAACTTAGTGACTTCACCATCTGGCACGTAGCCGGAGTAAACCGCGTGGAATTTGTCGACGTCTAACTTGAGCAGGTATCCAAGGACGGACTTCTTGGCACCGTCGTTACCGTCCGCAGTCAACCAGTTGCAGAAGGACTTAACGGGGTCATTACCGAAGCCATGTCCAGTGAAGACGTGAGAGCCGAACTCGTAACCAAGTCGTGCTTCCTCTCTAGTTCTCCCACCGTAATAGAGGTCATCAACGTATTTGAGTAGTAACATTCTAGTAGGTATAGAAGGACCTCGTAATATATACTCTACGCCAGTCGCAGAGGGCATTAATAGTGCCTGCTCGATCTGCACGTTAGAGAGTAGTCGTGGTGGTGAACCGGTAACTTCGGCCTTGTGTACCTCACGTTGTACAGACAGAGAGGACGTTAGAAGTCGTTCCATTTCCAGTACCACGTCGTGGCTACTTGCCTCTAGCATACAGGGGGCATTATTACTGCCAAAGGCGATACTCGACCATAGGACAGTATAGTTCCCAATACACGTATAACTGGAATAGCCAACGTCGTATAATGAAGCCTTCATCTGGCAGAATGCCTTGGAGACGTCGGCAGAGATGAAGTAGGGAAAGCTCCTCAGCTGTAGTAGTACTCCTTGTAGGTCGTTCTGGGTCTTACCGCCACGTTTAGTGAACTTGTTCAACGTACGGAAGTCTAGAACGATACGACAAGGCGTCGTAGGATGACTGTCTCTAAAGACCATGTGTGATGGCGTATAATGGTAGGGCTTAATAACGACAGTGCCCTCCAAAGCCGTATCACGTGTCATAACATCCCATGCCGTCTGACATTCGTCAAAGGTTGGGGGCTCGAGAGTACCGTCGACATAGTTGTTCTTGACGATTGTGCAGAATCCTCGAGTAGTATATACTTGTAGTGCTGCCTCAAAAGCATCACGTTGTTCTGGAGAGAGTCGTCTCGTAGAAGCAGTACCACGATGTGCAGCGTTATTGAAGTTGTTAGGTGGACGTTCTTCTCCCAACCAGGGTAACCGTACACATACTCTACCTAGGGGTGCCTTGGCATCCCACATCCAATGACGTAAGAGGACATCCCAAGGAGGTAGATTGTCGTCGGAGTTGTTGTCTACCACATCGTCGTTGTCGTGGTTCTCGTCATGGTGGGGGGTAGCCAAATCCACGTTGGGGGATGTTCTCGTCGATGCAGTAGAAGTATAGTGAACATAGTAGTCGTTCGTCGTAGGATCTTTTCCCGATTGGCTACAGTCGGCCTGGCCCACAAACAAGTCGTCTGGGTAAGTCCTCGTCGTAGGGAAAAGGGCCTTGTGTAGATCCGCTTCAGATGGCTCGGTACCAGAGTCTTGAAGTAGGAATAGTTGACGTATATGGTTGATCACGTACATAGCCGTGATCTCCTGTTGGTCTTTCTCCAGCTGGTTAGCTGTAGAGTAGTTGTCATTGAACCGTACTTCTTTAGGAGCCGAGTAAGGGCTGAAGTCGTGCTCGTCGTTAGTAGTAACATGCATACCGTGTGGGCTGACGCGGATGGTGGTGCGTAACTTACCCATGGTAGGACAACCAAGTAGTACCGGGACATATAAGTCATCAGACACCACGATGAACTCGTCGTAGATCGTAATACGGTTGGTGGAGACCTTGAGCATGACGATACCGTCGACGTTCAAAGCACCACCGTCAGCCACTATAATGTGATGGGCAGAGTTGGTGTAGATTTCTGCAGTGGGGGCCAGTCGT